ACACATTTTTTAATTTTTTTGGAAATAGCAGATATTGTTTAAAGTGAAGTCCTGATATTTGGCAAAGCAAATTTCTAAGTGAACATGTCTCTACAGTGATTTTTCATGGTTTTAGACTTGCTTCTTAGCAAGTCTGTTTTGTGAGTCTGATTTCGGGCGTGTGTCTCTTTGTGAATTAGATTGGGCATCTGCTTATGGGCTCTGCTCAATAGTGAATTAGGTTGCAGGGTAAAAAAAATGACGGACGCCCATGAAAATTGGGCTTAAGCCCATAAATATGCGCCCACGCCCAATAGTGAATCAGGGCCCAGGTGTCTGTTAGACCCCTGATTTCTCACCTGCCCTCCATTAAAGGTAGGATTTCAGATTGCACTCCATTAGCTTCTTCATTGGCCACAACAACCAGGGAAAGTGACAACTGAACCTGGAAATGATATAATACACACTGTTTGGGCTCATTTATGAGTGTTTCAAAATGTGGCATTTGACATCCTCTTTTAAAGTGCTTTGAATTCCAACCAAAGCACCGCTCACTTAATAACATGGTTACTGTACAGTCCTGTTCACACTGTTGTGTTTGCTTTGCTTCAAAAATTATACCCCATGTTGCTTTCTTGGTGCTTCAAAGCATCTCAAAAGCCTCCATAGAAGTCTATGACAATATTCGCCAGTGGCACCTGCAACTTTGAGAGACTTTTATTCAGACTTAAGTTCATATTGCAGGTATGAGATATCCCAGAATGCACTGGGAAACTAACAAGCGAACCAAAAAGACACAGTCAGCAGTCACTTCAGGTGCAACTAGCAGACAGCATACATGCTGTGCAACATAGGAATGCTAGCAAGGAAGGTGAGCTGGGACCAGAACCAGAGGACTGAGTGGCAGAGGATTATAAGACCTGGGAGATCAGAGCAGGAGAAACTAGAAAATGGCACATGTGGTACGCAGCATGGAAGCAATGTAGCGGGAGGTGTTTGGGGACTGAAGAGGAGGATAAAAAAAGCACAGGATCAGCAGAGCTGGGGGTTACTATTGAGCAGAGGATCAGCAGAACTGGGGGATACTACTGAAGGGGGGATCAGCAGAGCTGGGGGTACTACTGAGCAGGGAATCAGCATAGTTGGGAGTACTACTGGGTGGTGCAACAGTAGAGCTGTGGGTAATACTGAGCAGGGGATCTGCTGAATGAGGGGATCTGCTGAAAAAGAGTACTAATAAGCTGGGGATCTGCAGAATGGGGGTACTGAGCTGGGGATCTGATGAGTGGGTGTACTACTGAGCCAGGGTTCTACTGGTTCTACCTTTAAAACAAACAGAAAATCAACACCCAAAAAGCAATTGCCAAAGTTCATTAAAGCTTCAAAAAAGCATCACAGAAGCATTACATAATCATCAAAAACACATCAAAAAGCATGTTGAAGTAGTAAGCACTTTAATGTGTTTTAAAGAATAGGTGTTCACTGGTTTCCCCCCCCCCCCCAATAGCCTGCAATACCTAATATGCCGGTTTGCAGAGGGGGGTACAAACATGGAGGGGGTGGAGGGCCACACAGGACAGGAATGAATGCTCCAGGGTATGTGAAAGCGATTGCGTGGCTGTACAGCCTCTCGATCACTTCCATTTATTGTTTGACAGTTGTCTTGTCAGATTAAAACATTCTCAAATGCTGAGGTAGGTGGGAGTGTGTGTAAAACCCTACGCTGCTGCCAATGTATGGATACATTTATGACAGTGAAAGAGTTAAAGATCCCCATACACGGTTTAAGACTAAACCACTTTTTATCCAGTCTCAAACTGTGACTGCATGTCTTCTTCAAGAGCTTTGAAGTAAACAGTTTAATACTGATACTGCAATCACCATTGATAAAATTTGTAAGTTGTAAACATATCCCTTCTTAAGCGCCTCCTTTCCATAGTGAATATGTGTCATTTTTGTAATTATTCTTTATAACTGAGGTCATCAAGCCCCTTATCATTGCCCTTCAGTTAGCTCTTTCTAGTTCAAGGACAACCCTCCTGTGGGTTGGTGACTAAAACTGAGCTGCATACTCAAGATGAGACTGGACCAGTTTGTTGAGTGGTAGTATTGTAGATTTACAGTATCTGTTGAATAAAACATTTATTATTACATGAGAGAAATCTGCTAGCTTTGTTAGCTGAAGCTTGGCATTGCATGCTATTGCTAAAGCTGTGGTCTACATGGACCCATTCATCTTTTTCAATTACAGATTCCTCCAGAGGAGCTCCTCCAAAAGAGTAGCTTTCATGCATATTTTTGTCACCAAGATACCCACCCTCACATTGTATCAAGGCCTGCTGTATTCTGTGCCACTTTCATCACCCTGCATAGTTTGTTATCATCAGCAAATACTGAAATTGAACTATTCATTTCAACCTCAGTATAATTAATAAACAAGGTAAACAGCACTGGCCCCAAGACAGAACCCTGGTGCACACAACTCACAACTAGAGATGAGCGAAGTATTCAAAAATTCGATTCGACTGATTCGGCGAATTCGTGGAAAAATTTTGATTCGAGTCGAATATATTCGCTGCGAATTTAACTTATAAAAGGGTGTTTCTAGGCTTCAGAGAGCCTTTATATTAGTGCAGAACACTGTACCTTTAATTTAAATGCCCTTGGAGTCTGCTGGGGAAGAGAAATAATACTGTCAGTCAGTATGACATGCAGATGAGTGCACTCATTTGGGCAGTCACGGGGCCAAAACCAGAGTGTGGAGCCACAGTGTGGCGGTGGAGGCAGCAGCAATGGGAGGCCATACAGCACCCTATGACAAAAATGGAAACCACCAGCAGTGTGAGGAGACCTGAAAGTGGCACATGGCAGAGTGTGGCGATGGAGACAGCAGCAATGGGAGGCCGTACAGGGACCCATGACACACTCTGGACCTGGCAGCAGCATGAGGAGGCGGGGTAGCGGTACAGGGGCCCATGACAGATTACGGGCCTGGCAGCAACATGAGGAGTCGGTACGGGGGCCCATGGCAGATTAGGGGCCTGGCAGCAGCTATAGGAGGCCCGTAATCTGCCAGCACCCTATGACAAAAAATGGAACACACCAGCAGTGTGAGGAGACCTGAAAGTGGAACACGGCAAGAGACACTGTGGACCTGGCAGCAGCATGAGGAGGCGGTATAGGGGGCCCATGGCAGATTAGGGGCCTGGCAGCAGCTATGGGAGGCCCGTAATCTGCCAGCACCCTATGTCAAAAAATTCAACACACCAGCAGTGTGTGAGGAGACCTGAAAGTGGCACATGGCAGAGTGTGGCGATGGAGACAGCAGCAATGGGAGGCCGTACAGGGACCCATGAGAGACTCTGGACCTGGCAGCAGCAGCATGAGGAGGCAGTATAGGGGCCAATGGCAGATTAGGGGCCTGGCAGCAGCTATAGGAGGCCCGTAATCTGCCAGCACCCTATGTCAAAAAATTGAACACACCAGCAGTGTGAGGAGACCTGAAAGTGGCACATGGCATGAGACACTGTGGACCTGGCCCATGAGAGCAGCATGAGGAGGCGGTATAGGGGCCCATGGCAGATTAGGGGCCTGGCAGCAGCTATGGGAGGCCCGTAATCTGCCAGCACCCTATGTCAAAAAAATTCAACACACCAGCAGTGTGTGAGGAGACCTGAAAGTGTGGCACATGGCAGAGTGTGGCGATGGAGACAGCAGCAATGGGAGGCCGTACAGGGACCCATGAGACAGACTCTGGACCTGGCAGCAGCATGAGGAGGCGGTAGAGGGGCCCATGGCAGATTAGGGGCCTGGCAGCAGCTATGGGAGGCCCGTAATCTGCCAGCACCCTATGACAAAAAATGGAACACACCAGCAGTGTGAGGAGACCTGAAAGTGGCACATGGCAGAGTGTGGCGATGGAGACAGCAGCAATGGGAGGCCGTACAGGGACCCATGACAGACTCTGGACCTGGCAGCAGCATGAGGAGGCGGTATAGGGCCCATGGCAGATTAGGGGCCTGGCAGCAGCTATGGGAGGCCCGTAAATCTGCCAGCACCCTATGACAAAAAATGGAACACACCAGCAGTGTGTGAGGACCTGAAAGTGGCACATGGCAGAGTGTGGCGATGGAGACAGCAGCAATGGGAGGCCGTACAGGGACCCATGACAGACTCTGGACCTGGCAGCAGCATGAGGAGGGCGGTATAGGGGCCCATGGCAGATTAGGGGCCTGGCAGCAGCTATGGGAGGCCCGTAATCTGCCAGCACCTATGTCAAAAAAAATTGAACACACCAGCAGTGTGTGAGGAGACCTGAAAGTGGCACATGGCAGAGAGTGTGGCGATGGAGACAGCAGCAATGGGAGGCCGTACAGGGACCCATGAGAGACTCTGGACCTGGCAGCAGCATGAGGAGGCGGTATAGGGGCCCATGGCAGATTAGGGGCCTGGCAGCAGCTATGGGAGAGCCCGTAATCTGCCAGCACCCTATGACAAAATGGAATGGAACACACCAGCAGTGTGAGGAGACCTGAAAGTGGCACATGGCACATGGCGATGGAGACAGCAGCAATGTGGGCCCTGGGACCCATGAGCAGACTCTGGACCTGCAGGAGGCGGTATAGGGGCCCATGGCAGATTAGGGGCCTGGCAGCAGCTATGGGAGGCCCGTAATCTGCCAGCACCCTATGTCAAAAAATTCAACACACCAGCAGTGTGTGAGGAGACCTGAAAGTGGCACATGGCAGAGTGTGGCGATGGAGACAGCAGCAATGGGAGGCCGTACAGGGACCCATGAGAGACTCTGGACCTGGCAGCAGCATGAGGAGGCGGTATAGGGGCCCATGGCAGATTATGGCAGATTAGGGGCCTGGCCACACCAGCAGTGTGTGGGAGACCTGAAAGTGGCCCGTAATGGCAGCACCCTATGTGTAAAAATTGAACACACCAGCAGTGTGAGGAGACCTGAAAGGGCACATGGCATGACAGACACTGTGGACCTGGCAGCAGCATGAGGAGGCGGTACAGGGGCCCATGGCAGATTAGGGGCCTGGCAGCAGCTATGGGAGGCCCGTAATCTGCCAGCACCCTATGACAAAAAATGGAACACACCAGCAGTGTGAGGAGACCTGAAAGTGGCACATGGCAGAGTGTGGCGATGGAGACAGCAGCAATGGGAGGCCGTACAGGGACCCATGAGAGACTCTGGACCTGGCAGCAGCATGAGGAGGCGGTGTATATAGGGGCCCATGGCAGATTAGGGGCCTGGCAGCAGCTATGGGAGGCCCGTAATCTGCCAGCACCCTATGTCAAAAAATTCAACACACAGCAGCAGTGTGTGAGGAGACCTGAAAGTGGCACATGGCAGAGTGTGGCGATGGAGACAGCAGCAATGGGAGGCCTGTACAGGGACCCATGAGAGACAGGACACTCTGGACCTGGCAGCAGCATGAGGAGGCGGTATATAGGGGCCCATGGCAGATTAGGGGCCTGGCAGCAGCTATGGGAGGCCCGTAATCTGCCAGCACCCTATGTCAAAAATTGAACACACCAGCAGTGTGTGTGAGGAGGAGACCTGAAAGTGGCACATGGCAGAGTGTGGCGATGGAGACAGCAGCAATGGGAGGCCGTACAGGGACCCATGACCTGGACCTGGCAGCAGCATGAGGAGGCGGTTTATAGGGGCCCATGGCAGATTAGGGGCCTGGCAGCAGCTATGGGAGGCCCGTAATCTGCCAGCACCCTATGACAAAAAATGGAACACACCAGCAGTGTGAGGAGACCTGAAAGTGGCACATGGCAGGGGCATGATTCATGGCGGATTTAGTCAGTTGTGTCAGGAACTGGTGGTTTGAAATCCAGACTAATCCACGCCTGATTCATTTTCACAAACGTGAGTCTCTCCACACTTTGGGTGGACAGTCGTGTCCTCCGCGGAGTTACAATACCTCCTGCCGCACTAAACACGCGCTCCGATGCCACGCTACTGGCCGGGCATGACAGCCTTTCAAGGGCAAATTCAGCTAGTTGGGGCCAAAGGTCAAGTTTCGTTGCCCAGTAGTCAAGGGGATTGTCTACCTCGGTTGGCAGGGTGCTGTCCAAGTAGGCCAAGCCTGTTGTTTGAGGTCCTGCTCCAGGTCCACCTGATGCTGCTGCTGCTGCGGCTGGTTAGTAGTTTCCTCACTGCGCTGGTGAAGAAAGCTACTCATCATCGACTGCAGACTGAGGCAGCCGCTGCTGGTGGAGCTGCCACTGCTCCTACCACCCCACCCCTCCCCTGCTGCCATGGCAGCGGAACGCGAGCGCACAGGGCCCACAGTGTCTGAGGATGGACGTTGGCGCACAAAGGCAGAGACCAACTGACTACATAGGTGGTTTTTATAGTACGTTATTTTGGCCTCCCTCTCAGCAGGTGTGAAAAAGGCCACCATTTTTTGAACGGTAGCGAGGGTCCAACAAGGTGGACAGCCAAAAGTCATCCCTCTGTCTGATGGTTATTATTCGGCTGTCGCTACGCAAGCAACCGAGCATGCTATGGGCCATTTGTGCCAAGGAATGCGAGGGACTCCCTGCCTCCATCTCCACAGCATACTGCCACGGTGCGTCTGGGTCCTCTGTCTCCTCCTCCTCCTCCTCTCTACCAGATGCTCCTGCTCCTCCACTCCTGTCCGCTGAGTGGAAAAACCACCCATTTCACTCAATAATTCCTGAGCACAAATGTCCTCCTCTACCTCCTCCTCTTCTTCCTGTCCTGCCCCCACAGGGGTCATGTGGCGTTGAGATCTGTGCGCCACGTCTACCGCACCCTGACCAGCCATTGTTAACAGCATTTGTTCCAGGACGTGCAACAGAGGAATGACGTCGTTCATCCCATAGTCCTGCCGACTCTCACGAATAGCGTGGCCTCCTCAAAGGGCCTGAGCAAGCGGCAGGTGTCACGCATGAGCTGCCAATGGCTGACATCGAAGTTACACAGGGGAGTACCTTTATCCGCTTGTAACATCAGGAAATCGGTGATGGCCTTTCGCTGTTCGTAAAGGCGGTCTAACATGTGTAGGGTTGAATTCCACCTTGTTGCAACGTCGCAGATCAGGCGATGCTGTGGAATTCCGTTCTGCCGCTGCAGCTCAAGGAGGGTGTGCTTTGCGGTGTAGGAATGGCTGAAATGCATGCAAAGTTTACGTGACATTTTAAGGATGTCTTGCAGTGGGATGGTGGATTTTAGGAACCGCTTGACAACCAGATTGAACACGTGAGCCATGCATGGCGCATGGCACAACCTTCCTTGACGCAGAGCAGACACCATGTTCTTTCCGTTGTCGGTCAACATGGTTCCGATTTTCAGTTTGCGCGGAGACAGCCATCTGTCGATTTCTCTGTTCATTACACTGAGAAAGTTCCTCCCCTGTGTGACTACGTTCGCCAAGGCATACCAGGTGCAGCACAGCGTGACACCGTTGCGCCCTGCACATGTGATATGCCGGTCGGGGGTAATGGGACTTGGCACGGGGGGTGGCGGCGCTGAGGACACGGCGGCGGAAGAAGAGGTGGTAGAGGCGGACATCTTTTGTGGACCAAGGACGTGCAAACGTGGAGGCAAAAGCGCAGCGTGACCTGTCCAAGTTGCTGGTGCGGCTGTGACGACGGCACCGTTCACCCAGTGGGCCGTAAATGACATGTACTGTCCCTGACCGTAGTTACAGCTCCACACGTCGGCGCTGCCGTGCACTTTGGCAGAGACCGACATGCTCAAAGACTGGCCCACCATCTCTTCTACATGTGAATGCAGGGCTGGCACTGCCTTTTTGGCGAAGAAATGACGGCTTGGCACTCTCCACCGCGGCGCGGCACAAGCCATCATTTCTCGGAAAGGTGCTGAGTCCACCACTTGGAAAGGGAGGGACTGCAGCACCAGCAACTTGGACAGGAGGACGTTCAGCTTTTGCACCGTCGGGTGCGTGCTCGCAAACTGTTGTCTCTTGGAAACGGATTCCAAGAAAGACTGCTGACGGAATCCGTGAAGAGGAGTAGCAGGAGAAGGAGCATCTGAACGAGCGGAAGATGGCAACGAGCGACAACTCCCCTCAGCAGAGGTGTGTTGGAGCCTTGACTGCTGATAGAGGGCGATTGACGTCGGGTGACGGAGCAAGTAACGGAGCGGGTGATGGAGCGGGGGCTGGGGCGGGCAGAACCGCCGTATCTTTATCACGGTTTTCCCAGGCCACCAAATGGCGACGCTGCATATGCTGCCGCAACGCTGTAGTCCCAACATGGGCCCCCTGGCCACGCTTGACTTTCTGGCCACATAGTCGACACATACGGCTACGTTTACTTCCTCGGGCGGCTTGACAAAAAATTGCCACACCGCCGAGTAGGAAACTTTGCCCCCGATACTCCTCACTGGCTGACTGCTGCTTCCTCCGTGCACACCGGCACCACTACTGGCCGTGGTGGTAGGCTGCAGTGGAGCTGGTGCTGCTACTCCGTGGCCGTTTGCCTCCACTGACACTGCTGCGACCCTGCTGCCTCCTGGGCAACCCACCGACTGTTTTGCTCGCTGCCAAGCTGCCACCCTCTTCTCCTGATGATGCGGAAGCAATAGCCTGATGACGACGAGGCTGCCAAGTGCGATCAGCCTCATCATCATCAATTAGGGTCTCCGCCTCACTACTAGCCCCCTCGGCTGCGTGTGGGGTCAGGAGACAGACCTGTCTCTAGACCGGCTACCGAGCCACTCTCCTCGCCACTACTTCTTCGCCTGGCTGCTGAAGAGGCGGATGTCTCCCCCCGTTCCTGACCGCCCTCTGTTTGCTCTTCCTCACTGTACAGTGGGGCTGAGCCCACAGCATGCGATACTTCGCTTGGTGAGGGAACACCAAAGGACAGGGGCAGGTAGAGGACACGTGATTTCAGTGGGCTTGCTCCCGGGCCATGCCAACTAACGGTTGTGTCTGACGTACCCACCGACCGTTGGCTGTAGGTGTCAGAGGTGACCTGGGAAGAGGAAGACGACCGAGCCAACCAATCGATGACGGCGGCAGGGTTGTCGGTGGAGACACGACCGCTGGATGACACCGGGAGCACTGGCCTCTGGCTGCGAATAGTGCTGCCTCGACCCCTTCCTCTGCCTCTGCTGCCACGTCTGCTCGCTCCTAAAACATTGCCTCCTCTGCCACTCCTCTGCATGTTGTCTGACATACTCTTTAATTAAACGATTCTGTGTCCCTGAGTAACAATTCTGTGTCTGTCCCTGAGTAACAATTCTGTGTCCCTGAGTAACAATTCTGTGTCCCTAAGTAACAATTTCTGTGGCCCTAAGTAACAATTCTGTGCCCTCAGTAACAATTCTGTGTCCGTCCCTCAGTAACTGTGTTCTGTGTCCCTCAGTAACAATTCTGTGTCCCTGAGTAACAATTCTGTGTCTGTCCCTGAGTAACAATTCTGTGTCCCTGAGTAACAATTCTGTGTCCCTCAGTAACAATTCTGTGTCCCTGAGTAACAATTCTGTGTCCCTGAGTAACAATTCTGTGTCCCTCCCTAACAATTCTGTGTCCCTCAGTAACAATTCTGTGTCCCTCAGTAACAATTCTGTGTCCCTCAGTAACAATTCTGTGTCCCTGAGTAACAATTCTGTCTGTCCCTGAGTAACAATTCTGTGTCGTCCCTAAGTAACAATTCTGTGGCCCTCAGTAACACATTCTGTGTCCCTCAGTAACAATTCTGTGTCCCTCAGTAACAATTCTGTGTCCCTGAGTAACAATTCTGTGTCCCTGAGTAAACAATCTGTGTGTCCCTAAACAATTCTGTGTCCCTCAGTAACAATTCTGTGGCCCTAAGTAACAATTCTTTCTGTGGCCCTAAGTAACAATTCTGTGTAGTCCCTGAGTAAACAATTCTGTGGCCCTAAGTAACAATTCTGTGTTCTGTGGCCCTAGTAACAATTCTGTGTCCCTCAGTAACAATTCTGTGTCCCTCAGTAACAATTCTGTGTCTGTCCCTAAGTAAACAATTCTGTGTCCCTAAGTAACAATTCTGTGGCCCTCAGTAACAATTCTGTGTCCCTCCTAGTAACAATTCTGTGTCTGTCCCTGAGTAACAATTCTGTGTCCCTAAGTAACAATTCTGTGTCCCTAAGTCTGTGG